GACCCAGCTCAGGACACCCCTTTCTCTGGGAAGCTTGGCCTGGCCCTTGGGTCTGAGTCCGTTGCCTTTCAGATTGCTTTGCACCTGCTGGTTATCTTTATCTATACCTGTAACTCCCTCCCCACTCGCCCCATGCCCATACATACCCCTTGCCCTCCCTTAAGCTTCGGGAAGGCAGAAGCTATTGTTTATTATTCTTTGTATCCCTAACTCTTTGCACAGGGCCTGGTACACAGTAACTGCTCAGTAAATGTTTCTGGAGTGAATGAAAGAATATATATTTAATTTAAAACAAAACAAAACAAAAAACGTAGTCATTTAAGAACTATGTAAACAGCACCACCTATTGGTAGATGATTTTAACACCACCCTTCAGATTCTGAAACCTTTTGCCCTGGAAGTTAGGTGTCTTAAGTTAAGCATCTTCGCTTTACTGAAAGGGTTGTTCACTCCCCGAGCCATGGGGTCATTTATCTTTTAACACGTGTTAAAATAATAAGTGCTCATATTCTTTATATTTTAGTTTTGAGGCCAGTAGGCAGGGGGCCTGGAGGTTACCTGTAGGTTCTCGTCAGCAATGTTGGGAGCAAGAGGGGAGTGATAGAAGTGAAAACCGCGTATTGGGCACTTTGCTACATGCGCAGTTTGATCTTACCAACACCCTGGACCTTACAGTGGTTTTGGTCCCATTTTGTAGGTGAAAGAAACTAAGACGTGGAGGTAGAGCGACTTACCCAATCCGAACGCAGACCCAGCTGACTTCAAAATCTGGGCAGGTTCTGCCACACTGAGCTGGAGGTGTTGGCTGGAAATGTCTATGAAGCAGTCTTTGTCCCCAAGTAGGGTCTCCAGTGACTTCCAAACTCTTTGAGATGTTTCCTCCCTGACCCCATTTCTAGTAGAAAGCTCCTTAAGGGCATTTATGTAGAGAATCATTACTTACATAGTAAAGTATTTTGGTTGCCAGCGGGAATATTATTTCATCAAGTGAGATCGTTTCAAAAGGAGTCCTGGTACGTATGTCAAGAGCCACGGTTTTTATAGGTGAACAAATGTCAGGGAGATAACATGTTTCACTTTGGAATGGTGTCCTTTCTGATCGAGCCTCGTAAATCATTTTCGAAGGCAAGTATCTCTGCTCGAACAGCATTGACCCCTGTTGGCTGTGCTCTAATCCTGGTCACCCAGGGGTCCCTGTTACACGCGTCCCCCATGTGTCAGATCCGCAGCGTGCAGGACCTGGGCTCCTGAGCCCCCTTTCAGGCACGTGGGGTAAATTAGGTAACAGGTGGGGAGGTGCGGAAGTTCCGAGTGCAGATCCCACTACAGAGGCGGGCACAGCGCAGGGAGTGCCGTTAAATCGGAGTCTGAACCCCTGCCCGACTCCCCTCCTCATACACACCCAGCCTGCCGTGTGGCAAGGTGAGTGTTAGCAGATGAAAAGTAAAACAGCCACTAGGAGAGCACCCTGCGCCCAGAGTCCCCGGTGAACGTTATCGGGGAGTTAATAACATGCGATGTAGACTCAGGTGGTCGTAGCCACTGCATGGTTGTGAGCTCACGGCTCAGGGTGGGGGCTTTTCCTCAGCTCAACTGTTTGATTTTCTCTTGCTGCCCCCAGATCCAGCCGCCGGTCTGGCACAGGCTCCCGGCTGCCTCGCATCCTCCGTGAGTCCCCAGGTACCGCTTCCTTATGAGAACCCTTGAGATGGTCTCCCGAGCCAACCAGCTCAAGGAAACACACAGCCAGAGTCTTTCCGCAAGTCATCCTGCCAAAACAGAGCAGTAAAAACCATACCCGACCGTGACACTGTTCACTCGGGAGGTATTGGCCACTGCCAAGGGCAGATTAGCCAAGAGATGAGGGTCTGCTCACCAGAGGGGAAACCCTTCCTCTCCGCCGGGCTGATGTCTCTCGTGGGCTTCCGGGGGGAGGAGGGGGGGCATCTGTGTCAGCTCCCCACGGGGACAGGGATGCGTGAAGCCTCACGCCTCCCCCCACGGAACCACACCCTGGCTGTGCAGGGAGCGTTAACGTCACCCACTCACGTTTTTCCACTTAGCTCACGCTAAGGAACAGGTGATCAGAGACCAACTACGCGGCCCTGGGGCGGCGGTCTCCTCCCGTACCAAGTGAACTTGCAGCCCGGGCCCGTTTTCAGCCGCGTCGGGTTCCCAGGGTCCCCTTTCAATCTCCTGGCAGTGAGTCCTGGAAAGGGCAGGTGTTCAGCGTGCGGCTCCGGTTGAGAGATTTTGAGCGGAGGCCGCAGCATCTTTAATCCTGCATCACGGCTGTCGTAACACCCTCTACGGGTTTGCCCCTCTGTCACTACTGCTCCAGAGGTTTGTGCTTAAAAGGCTTGCACCCACGAGTGGAGCTCCCGTCTCCCTGGTACTGTGTTGCTGTTTAAGAAAGGTGGTGGTGCAGAGGCAGGAATAATGGATCCAAGAGTAAAGACAGTATTTTTTTGCTTTAAAAATGTAGCTTTCTGGGGCACCTGGGTGGCTCAGTCGGCCGAGTGTCCGACGCTTGATTTTGGCTCAGGTCATGATCTCGTGGTTTATGAGTTCAAGCCCCACATCGGGCTCTGTGCTGACAGTGCAGAACCTGCTTGAGATTCTCTCTCTCCCTTTCCCTCTGCCTCTCTCTCTCTTTCTCTCTCTCTAAAAAATAAGTAAACATTTAAAAAAGAATATAAGAAAAATGTAGCCTTCAATA